CAGAGACTACTGTCCGCGCCTTCATGATCCGGTTGGGTTTCCCGTTTTGGCCCCCCCCCGCAACCGTAATCACTGACCGAGGAGTACAGTTTGAGTCACAACTCTGGCAGCACCTCCTACAGTTCCTCGGCACGTCTAGGCAACGCACTACAGCTTATCTATCTCAAGCCAACGGCATGGTAGAACGTTTTCACCGGCAGCTGAAGGACGCACTCAAGGCACAGCACGACCCTTACGGCTGGACTGATGCGCTTCCCTTAGTGCTCCTCGGCATCCGTGCGTCACACAAGGAGGATATGGACTGTAGCCCAGCAGATCTGACACTAGGCGAGCCCCTTCGGCTACCTGGGGATTTCTCACTCCCTCCTGATCCCAACCAAACCACTCCAGCCGTTCGTCACGACTTACTCCAAAAGCTACGACAAGCAGTTTCTGCATTCAGAGCTACTGCTCCACGCCAGCCTACTCGGCGCCCTGAACACATCCCTCCTGCACTACTCACAGCCGAGTATGTTTTCGTCAGGCATGATGCTCACCGCAACCCATTACAACGCCCCTACGATGGACCCTTCCAGGTGGTTACCCGTTCAGCAAAGTTCCTGACAATTATCCGGAATGGCAGACATGACACCGTCAGCATAGACCGAGTCAAACCGGCCGCCTTACCCGTCGGGCCCCCAGCCCAGCAGCACCATCAACAAACTACGCCTGCACCAGTCTACCCGCAGTTACCACCGGCAGCAACACCACGCCCACGACATTTCTGGGCACCCTCTTTTCACCCTCATGTACAACCTGCTCCTGTCATAGAACCTGAACCTGTAATAAACCTCCCTTCTATCATAGAACCTGCTCCTGTCATAGACCCTCCTCCTGTCATAGAACCTGAACCTGTAATAGACCTCCCTTCTATCATAGAACCTGCTCCTGCCATGGACCCTCCTCCTGACGCAGCCCCTGCAGCAGCAGGAGCACAACAACCATTGCTTGTACAACCTCCTCTAATCCCAAACCCTCTTTCTCCTCCTAATTCTCCCACAGGTTTTGTGTCACTGGACGGAGTTGTTACACGTAGCGGTCGAGTCGTACATACACCTGCCCGGTATGTGTTATGTGTGGGACACAACCCGGACAACATCCAGCCTCCCGCCGCGCCGGGAGGGGAGGGGGAGTATTGTAGTGGACGTCTCCCCTACAACTACGTATCTCATTCCGACGCGCCGCCGTATCCTAGCAACCAAGCGAGAGCTGACGCCAGATGGTACGGTAACCTAGCAACGAAACTAGTCACCGGCGACTTTCTGGGTTTTCCCAACATGATTCATAGAGGACTGGCGGCTGCTGCTGGGTATATACGCTCTGTCTCTCCATTGAGATTCATTCTGCCCATCTTCCTGAACAAGCAACACCTCCTCCAGCAAGCTCCACGCTGTCAGCATTCATTCAACCAGGAGGCCAGCAACAGGCAACATCTTCTCTAACGAAGCTCCTGCACATCTACCTCCTTCAACACGCTACTCACCGAACGTCTCTACTGAGCAGCTCCTCACCACACGGCACCTCCAGCACCAGACTGTCTATCATATAACTTATATTATACAAGAAAACCACCTTAGAGTTTCCATCCATCCTGAGTGCTAGACAACATTAATATCTCGATACCCCTACAAAGTAAAACTGGAAACTCTGAGTGGTAAAGTACATAGAAAGTTCACATACAAGGAAAAGTATAAAACGATAAGAAGTGAAATACGTACAACTGTGTTTCCATCATGGCCGCCAGGGAGTTGATATATAATAATGACATTTACCATTGACAGTCTATGGATATAACTGATAATTAGCCACCTTGAACAAAAACTCTTCACTTTATTTATGGCATCCTCATATAGGAAAAAATATTCTCAACATGGATTTGTACAAATTGGTCACTCCCATGAGATGTATTTCTGACACTTCATGTTTCAGCTTCAGTGACTCAAATAGCGGTGACGGGCCAGGTGTGAGTGTCAGTTGGTTGCATGGTAGTGTCAGATGAGATGGTAGTGTCAAATGGTAGTGTCAGTTGGTAATGTTAGATGGTAGTGTCAGCTGGTTGCATGATTGTGTCAGAGAGAGAGAGAGAGAGAGAGGCCGTGTACAGTACATGTTGGAAGAAGAAAGAAGGAGGAAAAGAAAGAAGATTGGAGGAGGAAGAAGAATAGGAAGGAGGAGGGGGTGATCCTAGAGATCCAAAACACAGCAAAGAACTTATATATTTACAGGTAGAGTCTCAGTCGGTATAACTTTGAAGTAACTGATCATAAAACATTACCTAAATAAACACATGAAGCAATATCCAAACAACTACATATAAGATATATAACCAAACAACTACACAGAAGAAATATAACCAAACAACTACACAAGAAATATAACCAAACAAATACACATAAGAAATATAACCCAAAATACCCAAACACGTATAATATAACCACAACCATTAAAAAAAAAACATTCCAAACACTCGATAGAATAGTGCCCTCTGAGATGTTTATAAATAACTTCAATATGGTCACCCTTTGCCCGTCTCTAGTATAAGCTAGGCAGTTGCAGGTGTTCTAATCTCTCTGGGTAACCGAGATGCCGTATTGAGGGTACCAGTCTGGTGGCCCTCCTTTGGACATTTTCAATCAACTGATAGTCTCTAGTATATCTCGGGGACCAGATGGGGTGACAGTACTCCAGATGGGGAAGCACCTCACTCTTGAAAAGCGTTACGAGGGACGGAACGTCTAGATATCTGAACGACCTTCTTATAAGACCTACAGTACTAGTTACTCGATTCACCTTCTTCTCACTGTGGTAGGAGAACTACAGTTCGTTGTCAACATACACACCCATGTTCTTTTCACATTCGGTCTCTATTAATGTAGTTTCTTCATCCCGCTGGAACATGTGTTGTGCCCCTTTACTGTTGGTGACATGAGGTGTGAGCGGCAATTTGCAGGCAGTGGAACATATTGTGTCTGTTTCCTCTTGTATGGAGCTCAGGTCCTCAGCACCTTCTGAAAAGGTCCTTTGTCCATAGGCACTCGTAACACAGGTGCACTCGTCTGCACAAGCAAAGTAGATCTTTTTGCTCAGTAGCTTCTGTTCTTATTTGCCTTTTTTTTCCATTCGTTCAGAAGAAACAGTTATTATTATTATTATTATTATTATTATTATTATTATTATTATTATTATTATTATTATTATTATTATTATTATTATTATTATTATTATTATTATTATTATTATTATTATTATTATTATTATTTTATTGTTATTATTATTATTATTATTATTATTATTGTATTTTTCGCCCCCAGACCCTGATGTGGGTCAGTGACCTGTGCCCGGGTTGGCTAATGCCTGTAAAATGGTGGTCTAAGGGCTGGCCCATTGTCTATAAGAAGATGGCAGTGATAATAAAAACCTGGCAACCACCTTTCCCTCACTAACCACACCATCTCATCCCTATACTTGATGTCACACTCACGCTCACTACTTCCACACTCTCCACATCCTCCCGACTTATCCTCACTAATCTTGTTAGTGGCGGTGACCTCCCTGTCCCTAACGTGAGGTTGTGACTCCCCGTGTAGAGCCACGCAGTTTTGTAGTGTTTCTTTGATATGGTGACACTAGCCGCCTGTGACTTCAGAGGTTTAACGTGGTAATCAAGGCAGCTTATCTGCACCTGACTGACAGGTCACTAAATCTTGGTACACTGATTACAAGCCGCCCATCTCGCTATTATGTCAGTAACCAGAAATGTGTGATATTTTTTTATCAAATATAAAAGGAATACACAAATGTATTCCCAAGAGCAATCATAATTATGGTAGCAATTTTAAATTTATAAATTTCGATTACAATTACAAAAATAAAATATTTTTATTATGATTATTTGGACAATTGTAATTTATGTAATCGATTAAAATTGAACATGGTAATCGATAAAAGCTAATCATTATCTGTAATTGCAATCATTACAATTACATATAATGATTATATCTGTTCAATAGATATGCGGAGAGGTCACGTGGCGCATCTGGTATATAATTTGGTTAAGTGTGTGAGTAGACCACATAAAGCTGTGGTGGCGAGTCATCCTAACAACAGCGTCCTGCCTGGCTCATACTTTCTGGCAGGCAGGACTGAACATTAAACTGTATTGTACACTTAAACACTAAGTATTTCTTATCTGACTGTGCCTAAACTACTTGAAGGTGTGTTGGGTGTAATGAAAGTGTGCTGAGTGTAGTGTGTTGGGTGTAGTGTGAGTGTGTTGGGTGTAGTGTGAGTGTGTTGGGTGTAGTGTGAGTGTGCTGAGTGTAGTGTGTTGGGTGTAGTGTGAGTGTGCTGAGTGTAGTGTGCTGGATGTAGTGTGAGTGTGCTGAATGTAGTGTGTTGGGTGTAGTGTGAGTGTGCTGAGTGTAGTGTGTTGGATGTAGTGTGAGTGTGCTGAGTGTAGTGTGTTGGGTGTAGTGTGAGTGTACTGAGTGTAGTGTGTTGGGTGTAGTGTGGGTCTAGAGATCCTTATACTGTTGTTGAAACTAAATGCACGAGTGTACAGGATGTAAGTACTGAGTGAATGAAAGGTTGTGTTATGAATGAAATGAGGTGGTAGTGTTGGTGGTCATGGTGGTCGGGGTGGTGGCAGTGGTGGTGGCTAGGATGGGCAGTGAGGTGGGTAGTTATAGTCCTGGTGATGATTTTGGTAGTAATGTTCGTGTTGATGGTGGTTGTGGTTGTAAGGGTGATTGTGATTGTGGTGATGATGATGATGGTGGTAGTAATGCTGGGAGTGATGGTGGCGGTAGTGCTTGTAGGGGTAGTGGTAGTGATTTTGGTGGTAGGGGTTATTGGTGGCTTTGGTGATGGCGTAGTAATACTGTTGGTGGTGGTGGTGGGTGTATATCAATTACAGTACGGGCATGACACATAAGGTGAAGGGCTGAAGGAGTTAAGACTGGCCAGTGTTGTTGTAGCTATTGGTGGAGACGGACGTATGCGCCCATCTCCTAACGGCCGACAGATTCTCAAAATACAGGTATTGTATGTTAATTATTTTGTCTCAAGTTTTGGATAATATGAAGCATCTTGATATAGTAAGATCTCAGTGTAATTTTGATGCTATATATACTGTATAGACGTTATCTCAATGTCATATTATTTTTTTTAATTCATTCTTTCCTTGGTGTTATGGACGTTATCACCCAAGCGTTGACGACCAGAAAACCAATAACTCAACTCGATGCTTAAATGATAGGATGCGAACAACTTCCTTGCGCTTGAGGAAAAAAGGGCTGACACACCACTAATGCAGAGTATTAGAACTAAATTGTGAAGGATAAAGGATCACAAGTGCACTGGTCCTTGGCAGTTGGATCCCAGAGTGTTAAGAGAGTTGTGCAACGATGTTCTGCAGATGCATGGAGAGCAAAATGTCTCCAGCGGTAGGAAAATGGCATATTTGAGCCCAATATTCAGATGGTTGATCGCCACTGCACTAACAATTACAGGCCGGTGAGTTTGACTAGCATAGTGTATAAAGTAGTAAAGAGCATTATACTAGATGCCGCCTACTACCGAACAACCTTGAAATGTAAAGGAATGCCAACACGGTTTATGCCCTGACACTCTTGTTTGACGCAGTTACTTAGGGTGCTGGATGTGTGGACATGGATCCTGGGGCTTTCGACAGCCGTTTATAATTCGAGGGAGTGTCCAAGCGTGAATCTGAGACTCTCCTCATGACCACAAGGAGTGTGTGGTAATTAATGGCACGAAATCTTCATTTGTTCCCGTGGTGACAAGCGGGGTGCCGGGACTTTTTTTTTTCGGTGATTAGCCGTTCAGGTGGGGATATCACATAAGTCACGGTGTCAACCATTTTCAGTATTTGTGTGGGTCATGGTATTCAGATCCAAAGGGGTGTTCATACAGTTTACAAATAGACGTTCAAGAGCTGCATCTATGTTAGGTATTCCTCTTCAACTTTTGAGAATGCACCTCGTCTAGTCCTCTACCTTCCATAAATCTGAGAATTGTGTCTTGTGAACGTTCTTAACTCAACTACTTAACAATTGTGTGTGCGTGTGTGTGTGTAAAACAGGCCTATAACACCACGTATGTCACCGTCAGCTGCCAAAATTCAATATTTTTTTTAATCTTACAGTCGTGATGGACAGAGGCCCAGTACAACAAACTTTGCTGTCAGCCTTTGGTAAGAACATGTTATGATCTATCGGTTGTTATTCTATTATTTTTGTTACTCACAGCTATATGTCACTATTATTTACTGTTGGTTAGAGTCATCTGTTGTTATTCAGTGATATTTATTATGATTTAGTGTTATGTATTGTTATTCGCTGTTATCTGTTGTTATTCGATGTTATTTATTGTTATTCGATGTTATTTATTGTTATTCGATGTAATTTATTGTTATTCGGTGATAGGTACTGGTGTTCATCATTAATTTCGGTTAGGCAGTGTTATGTTTTATTATTCGGTGTTATTTAAAGTGTCTATCTCAGTTACGACGAAAGATGTAACAGTTTCACTTACGATTCTCTGAAGGTCTTATATCATCGCAAACATAAGATGCAACAGTAATACTAATCTGATTATATTATAAGGTGGAAGCCGTGATTAGTGCTTTATACTCTAATCTAGAGATGGATGTCACATTCGCATCTGCAACCGATTCTGCGTCTAAGAAATGCAGGTGTTGTGGATTTGTAGAGCTTGGACTTTTTTATATCTGTATAATATAAATATTTATATAATATATAAACATTTTATCACACACACACACACACACACACACACACACACACACACACACACACACACACACACACACACACACACACACACATATCAAATTTATCTTTAGTTCGTCCTCTTCGCTACTGATAGGCTCATTAGCTGCGTGGACGGTCGGGTACGTTTCTGTTGGGCATGCATTGCTTCCAGAATGTATCTGTACCTGCACCTGTATTGGTCAAGTCTGGCCTTGAATGAGCACATATTCAATGCCGCCAGAACACACTCTAGCAGATTGTTCCAAGAGTTCACAACCCTCACTCCACCAGCCCCAGATATGGACATTCAACTGCGTAATGTCCTCTGAGATGCTTATAAACATAGTATAAGCCAGTGCTGTACTATAGGCACTGGTCTGGTGGTCCTCCTTTAGACGTTCTCAATCAACTGACAGCCTCCAGCGTCTAGCATATCTCGGGGACCAGATGAGGTGACAGTACTCCAAATGAGGAAGCACTTCGCTCTTGAAGAACTTTACGAGATATCTGAACGACTTTCTTATAAGACCCACTATCATAGTAGTTTGATTCACCTTCTCACAATGGCCGAGAACTTTAGTTCGTTTTCAACATACACACCCAGGTCCTTTTCATATTTTTTCTCCGATAATGCTGTTTCTTCGTCCCGTTGGGACATGTGATACTTCTTACTGTTGGTACGACTGAGGTGCACCCTCTTGCATTTCGTAACGTTGAATCTTTACGGTCATTCCTTTGGCCACTCCTGAAGTTGACGGAGATCTTTCTGTTGCTCGCCACATTCTGTTTGGCTCTTAATTTCCGCGAATAACTTGGCATCATCCGCGAACGTTTTCATGAAACAACAACGGGCTCAGTACACTGCCCAGTGGTACTCTGCTTGTCTCAGGTACGCATGAAGATTTCGTGTCATTGATCACCACACACGAAGTGAGTGGTACGCTGTCGAAAGCCTTGGCAAAGTCCCGATCTACTGTATATTGTCGATATTGCTACCACGATCCAGGAACTGGGTTCACACATCGAGCACCTTAAGTAATTGTATCAAGCAGGAACGTCCCAAAATACAACCGTGCTGCCATTCCTTACTAAGTTGTTCCTTAGTAGATGTTCCATCATGATATCTCGTAAATGATCTTTAGTACTGTAGGGGCTCACTGTACCATGTGGCTGTTCGGGGTACTTAGTTCTAACTACAGGAGCGAACACAAACACCTGTAGAGTTCTGTAGGTTCTATTTAACGGAAGTATACAGGAGTACGCTTACAAGCACAGGTAGTCCCTTCACTCTTTATGGGTCAACTGACCTCTCACTGACCTCTCAGGCGACATGTGGCAAGTGGTACATTAGCAGCTTCCAGATGTCGCCAGGCACATTATCTAAGCGTGTGGTGACCTGAAACGGGCATTGCCACACGCTACTGACTAGATAGGTAATATATATAAATGGGGTACATACATAATATACATACAACATACATAATATACATTCACCTCCCCCCCCCCCACCCCACCTATACGCTCATAGCAAAATCTTGAGCGGACCTTTTCCTGTGAATCTGTTCTGAGCGTCGAGGGGCTTGATCACAGGGGGGGATATGGGGCTCAGCACTGGTGACGGGGTCGACGGAAGGCGTTACGGGACGGAGAAAACGGCGGTTCCTCCACCACACGACCGCTGGGTAACCGCACCTGGTAGTCCCGTGACCTACCGAGACCCATGACTACACCCACTTTTTCCCAACGTAGGGAGGTTGGGTCCTGAACACGGACTTGGGTGCCGACACTTAACCTGGGGAGAGGACAGGCGTGGTCCTTGTAGCTGGCGACGACGTCTTGGATATGTTTGGCGGCTCGGCGATCACAATCCTCTGTCTTGGCCTGCAACTCCTTGGAGAAGGACTGAGGGTGAGCAGGGGCACAAGAACGGAGGGGGCGTCAATACAAGACCTGGGCAGGGGAGCGTCCGGTGTAATTGGGTGTGTTGCGGAGTTCAAGAAGACCCCGGTCGAAGGCTTTGCAGTAAATATTCCCAGAAGGGGCCACTTTGAGGATGAGGTGCTTCAGGGATTTGACAGCAGCCTCAGCGTGGCCATTGGACTGCGGGTAATGGGGCGGTGACAACACATGCGGGACTCCCCATTGGCCGTGGAACCCAGTAAAGTCCCGGCTTGTGAACTGGGGCCCTCTGTTGGTTCGCAGGCGCACAGGAACGCCCATGTAATGGAAGTAGTGGCGGAACTTGCTGATGGTGGCGGCAGATGTCGTATCATTACCGCACTTGATGACAACCGGCCAACCAGAGAGACGGTCGACGATAACCAGGATGGACTCTCCTGACGCACAGAAAAAGTCGGCCGACAAAGACTCAAAGGGGCGGGTGGAGTTGTCGTCACTCATGAAGGGTTCCTGCTGCTGGCTGGGTTGTAGTACTTAACAGGGCTTACACGCATGGACAGCATTGGAGATGTCGGAGTCGATGCCAGTGTAATGAGACAAATCTCACATGAAGAAGATTACATATAGGTAGAATATTGATAGTATAAGAGTATAAAAGGGAGGAAGACTTTGGTAGCGTGGCCGTGATAGATATTTACACTGTCAATACACTTATCTTATACGTCAATAGGGCGACTTCTCAAACACGGCTTCGTTACAACTCTTTATTAATTACGACAATGACATGGACACATTAATAACACCTTCTATTGAAGTTACTAGGACATTATATTTACGTTACTAGGACATCATATTACGTTACTAGACACTCTGATTCTCGGACACGAACATGAAATGAATACACTTCCCACGTAAGTAACTCATCCCATGGAAAGCTCTGACAAACACTCACGTGACCTAGGGGAGGCCTAGCAGGTAGTCCTGGGTTGTCTCTATGGGAGACTGCTTAGCTGGGTGCCGGAGGGAAGTCTCGGTCCTGACCGGAGGCGACCGGAGGCGGCTTGCCTCCGGCCCCTGACTTCTCTAGCAGGACTCGGGACGTGGTAGCTGGCCCTTCTTGGTTACAAGACACACTCTCTCTCTGTCCCTCTCTCTCTCTCTCTCTGGGGAGAGGGAGGACTACGACGTCCTATATATTGGGAGGCGAGCCGTCAGGTTGAGCTGATCGGGGGGGGGCGGCGAAGGGTCTCCTTACATTTGCCCTCGCTAATGTAGGGTCAGGTCTGGACTTCTTCTGCGGTGTAGGTTATTGTGTATATTGGGAGAGAGTCGGCCGGTGCCTTCTTACATGTTTGTTGGGGCATTTGCCCTCGTTAATGTACGTAGGGTCAGGTCTGGACTTTTTCAGCGGTGTAGGTTATTGTGTATATTGGGAGAGAGTCGGCCGGTGCCTTCTTACATGTTTGTTGGGGGCCATGTGACATGGTAGGGGAGCCAGTTGATTTGTAACTCCTTGAGTGGTTGCGAGGGGTACCCTTACATTTGACCGCCCTAATGTCGGGTCAAGTCTGGACTGTTTCTGAGATGTAAGCTGTGGTCTGACAACCCATCACTACACCAGGCCGGAACACAGTCTGTCTTGCACGCCGTTTGGTGGCCTCCGCTCCACAGTGACTGTCGTGGAGGCAAGCGAAGGCGTGGAGACTTGAAGCAGCAGGGACAACTACCGAAGGAGAGGTGTCACTGGCCAGAGGTAGGGGTAGGGCGGCAGCAGGGTAGTTGCTGCTCCCTTCGTGCACCCTGTTGGCATATTTTACCTCGAGAATCGGTGTTGGGAAGTCCTGGGAGATGATGGCCAACTCTTGGCAATGTCTGTAGGACAGCAAAGGAGTCGGGACACCATTATGCACGTCAATCCAGGCCTGACACGACCTGTTGCCAAAGGTGACATGTGCATAGAGTAAACCTAGGCCTGGGGCCATCTGTGAACCATCTGCCGTGACGCAGAGGTCCTTGGGAGGCGGTCCTAGATCGCTTGGAGAGAGCCCCAAGCATTGCAAATGCTGGGGACCGATGACCGTAGCCTCAGCGCCGGTGTCGGGCAGCATCTCGAGACAGGATGACACACTGCCGTAGGTCACGATGACGCTGATGTGCTGGGGGACTTTGGTCCTGGGACGCGAGGAGGAGTACACCCTCCTAATATGGGTCGGGCTTTGTCCAGGGTCGTCGTGCCTCTGATTTGGCGACTGTGGGCGGCCCTCACTGGTGGAAGGGCGCTGCTGCTTCCGCCGACGCTGTCCCTTAGGTTTGTTGGTCGGACAACACTTGTCGTAGTGGCCCAGACGACCACACACATTGCACTGGACGTGTTTGGCTGGGCACCGTACTGTAAGTGACCAGTGGCCCTTGCGGTCACAACTGTCGCAGGTAGACTCGGCAGCTGGACACACCTGTGTTCCGTGCTGCCTACCACAGCTGTTGCAAAGGGAGTTGGGCGTGGGCGTGGTGGGCGTAGGCGTTGGGGCAGACTTCTTGTCTTTCTTGTATTGGGACATAGCCCGTACGGCTGTAGGGGGAGCTCAGATGGCAGAGGTGGCACACCTGGCAGCCTCATAGGAGCGACATACTGTCAATACATCCTTAAGAGGAGAGGGAAGAGTCGAGGGAGGTGAGGCGTTGGACAAGCTCCTCGTCCTTAACACCCATCAGGATCACCTGCTTCAACTGGGTCTCCTCGCACTGCTGGTGATTACCGGGACATATGTCTATCTCTTCCGAGGCTCTCTTGAGTCGTACATGGAAATGGTCAAAAGTCTCGCCCTCCATCTGTCTACAGCTAAACACTTCCCTCCTGCGGAGAGCTTCATTCCGCTGACCTTTGATGTGCCGTTCTAGAACATCCAGTACCTCCTCTACAGACAACAAAGACGTCGGGGGCACTTGCAACGTATGTTCCAACACATGCTGCGTTCCCAAAGATAGGCACATACGTAGCTGAATGAGTTGTTTAGGCTGTGGCAAGCTCTGGAGATCCACCATTGTAGCATAATCAGTCCACTGTCGCCGCCACTCACGAAAAGTCTGGAAAGTCTCATCAGGCTTCAAGGTGGGTGGGGGTTGGACAACCACTTTGGTAGAGGGCGTTGACGAGGTATCTGAGCCAGTCGGTACCGGAGTAGTGGAAGGGCCAAGGGCTTGATTAGCAGTGAGGCTAGATATCAAAGCTGCAAACCGTTCGTCATCTTCCAATCTCCGTTGGTGGTCCTCAGCACGTCTTTTCGCTTCGTCCAGACGCCTTTCCTCCCTCATAAGCTTCATCAGAGCAATTATCTCTGAGGACGAGGCTGAGGGTCGAGGGGTGTGGCTGGGAGATGTGTTGGGAGAGGGTGGGGCGTCGCGCACTGACTGGTCATCCATCTCTGTAGAGCTGTCATCCGTCTGACTCATCCGGGCGCTAGGGACACCCCTGCGTGAGGCCCGGGGCATAATTACTTTATCTGTATATTGTATCTCAAATCAGTGTTGACCGGTCAGCCCGTCGTATCAACCAGATCTGAGACAACAAAATTAATTGAATACACAGATAAGTAACTTATATATAAATATATATATATATATATATATATATATATATATATATATATATATATATATATATATATATATATATATATATATATATATATATATATATATATATATATATATATATATATAAAGAAATGACTGCAGTCAGTGTGTTCGTGCGTGAGTTGGTGTGTGTGTGTACCCGTGGGTGGTAGGAGCGCGGGGGGAGGCGGTAGGAGGCGGAGGGAGGTGTGAGCTGTGGAGGGAGGAGGGAGGCAGGTCAGTTACACTCTAGACTCGGCCGGAGAAGGCCCTTGCTGACGCCGTTCTTCACCAATGCCCTGAACAAGCCTTTCACCTTGGAGAATCCATTAAAACAAGGTCACACACTTATCACACTTCACAAACAGGGCACTTAAGAAACTTTGCAAGAACTTGCGGTAACTGCACACTGCTCAAAACTCGGTGGTAATTCAAACAATTTTTTGTGGGAGACAATGTGATTAGGAGAGCGATGGATGAGGAGTTGACGGAGCGGGGGGGGAGGGATCTACTGGTCTTGATTTTACATAAACGCACTTATATTTCCAATTAATCAAATCACTGCGCCCTGTAGGGGCTCACTGTGCCATGTGGATGTTCGGGGTACTTGGTTCTAACTACAGGAGCGAACACAACACCTGTAGAGTTCTGTAGGTTCTATTTAACGGAAGTATACACGAGTGTACTTACAAGCACAGGTAGTCCCTTCACTCTTTATGGGTCAACTGACCTCTCCCTGACCTCTCAGGCGACATGTGGCAAGTGGTACATTAGCAGCTTCCAGATGTCGCCAGGCACATTATCTAAGCGTGTGGTGACATGAAACAGGGGCATTGCCACACGCTACTAACTAGATAGGTAATGTATATAAATGGGGTACATACATAGTATACATACAACATACATAATATACATACAAGTACTTTACGCACTATGTTGGTCAATCTCACGAGCCAATAATTATTTGTGTTGTGGCGAGCTCCCTGTTTGCATATAGGAATCACAAATGCCATTTTCCAGTCACTGGGGATCTTTTGTTCGTCCATACATCTGCAGAACAGGATTTTAAGGGGCTCAGAAAGCCCTAGAATAGGCTGTCTGACCTATTCTTCCACCCACGAGAAGAGAGGAGGAGATTGTGGAGAGGGATTAGAGGGTGTTTGGGGTGAGGGATCATCAGGATGACATAACTTTTATATTTTCTTTCTGAAAGAAAAGGACTTTCATTATTCACTTGGACGATTCCAAAATAGAGTATTCCCAAATATACATAATTAAAAAATATACTCTAACCTAGACTAGAATTCAGAATAACACCACAAATGAGATTATCCAATTAACTTCAATGCACACAAAAATTACCAATACCAAATTTCATTACTTATACTGTACATACATATGAGAGATAGATGTCACATCCACACTCACATCCACGGATGTCAAATTTTCACATACGCAGATATCAGAAATATGACATCCGATCCGTTATTACTCTAATGTGATCTTATTTTATAAAGAAAAGTGTTATTACAGGTTTCATAGATACGTTCAATTTCACGCAATCTTATTTTCAAAACGATACTCTAAAAAGTCTAACTGATTTTCCTAGAATCACTATACTGATGTTATATCTCCCAAAATCACTATACTGATGTATTTTCCAGGGCCACCATACTAATGTTATATCTCTCAAGGCCACTATACTGATGTTATATCTCTCAGGACCAGTATACTGATGTTATATCTCTCAGGGCCACTACAGTATACTGATGTTATATGTCTCAGGGCCACTATACTGATGTTATATCTCTCATGACCACTTTCTTGATGTTATATCCCCAAGGCCACGTAACTCCCCTGTGACCCCCTCCACCCTCAGGATGGCTGCCAGCGCGGATCGCTTTGGCAGCTCTGACCTTCTTCGGTAGCGTCAACATCTTTACGCTGCGGATCAACCTGTCTGTTGCTATCGTGGCCATGGTGCGTCGTAACCTCACCTCCGCCACCGCCGCCCGCGCCCACTGCCTGGTACCATCGTCAGGTAAGTGTTCTCTCATCCTCCCCTTCCTTGATCCTCATAGATACACCCTTGTCCTCTCAGGTATTTCCACTTTCTTGCTCACCTTGACCAGCTGGGCTGACGGTGGTGAGTGACTGCCTGGTGTTGGAGATGAAACATATTTTATATTTTTCTTACATGATGTGTACTTAGGTTATGGATGTAGTTGATATGATTAATGTATTTCACGTTATCTTCATCAGTATCATATTATTCAGTAAGGAATAATTTTGTTTTCTTATTGTCATGTAATGGGCCCCTGTCTCATCAACAGAACATATTATATAAATGGGTCAATACATCTGATATTATATTCAGATTCACCACCCTGTAACTTTCCACTGTCTTTGAGTAAGACATGAGTTGTACGCGTGAGAGGGCAACTCTCCCAGGAGGGTAGAGACCCTTCGTCAGCATATCTGTAAGCCCGCACAGCGAGGCCCTCACTCCTTAGTCGCTCACAGCAACTTATATCGTAAGGACGTGACCTAACATTTATAATACATAAACGCCGTCCCTTTCTCATTCACTCCTATACAGTGGAACTTACGGTCGATCTACACTCAGGAATTATATATACAACCCTTTTATAATAAAACAAGGAACTACCGTTTGGGTTTCGTTACTTAAACCCAAATAATAAATATATGTGAATGGCCTGGTTAATTGCACAAGCAGCCGATTCATATAGGTGGCAGCAGTGTGTACTGATTCTTAAACTGGTAGTCGTATCAACCGTCTGTGTTTGTGAAAAACAGAAAACACACAACAGTGATGCGTTACATAATCCGAGTGTTTAAAACTATATCCCGTATCGAGACGATATTTCGTGAGTGCTCCTTATCTCTGTCACATACAAAAACGTGCAGAATTCGTAATATACATATATTACAGCCTGTTGGTGAATATCCAGTTTGTGCCGGTTGAAGTAGGCCCCACTCAGCATTTTCTAGTTACAGTGTTGCAGTGTTGAAGAAAGGTTTCATAACTTGGACTAACAATTGACATTTCACAAGCAGCTGAACAGTTTTGTTGTGTCGCCAGCGTTAATTACGAAGTTCCGGTGTCATCATACAAGATCTCCATATATACGTAGACTGTGAAGACTTGGCACATGGCAGTCTCGCTAGCGACCTAGCAATGAACAGAGTGATAACCAATCATCAGCAGTTTCTGATCGACTGTGGAGAACCTCCCCTAGTTTGAAGTGGACTCGTCTCTCGCCAAGGTAGAAGCGTCTCTTCGTTGCCAAGGAAACCAGGAGCAGCACGCATCATCAGGAAGAGGCCCCACCCACCCTCCACACAAGACTCGACTCGGAAATCGGCTTGAAGGATCACGTTTTCTATACAGACGTAACACCCTGTATAAATAGGTTTTTAAATTACATAATTATACACACATGAACACGTTCGAGAGATATCTTCACACAGATAGGTTCGTCGGATAGGATTATTTCAATGATAAAGTGTCGAATGTAAAATTAATGTATTGAAATCCTATAATTTACAGTGGTTTGTAAGTGTCTGTCTTCTTATTGATAGTTTAATTATTAACTACAATTCATATTCATTTATCTTGTAAATGAGAGGCAAGTAATCTGCTTTTGCTGTTAAGTATTCATTGACCCACGAGGGACTAATAGATAATTTTCTAAGTTTCCCATGTCTAATGTTGATGACATTGAACGCCTAGTGCAACTGTTTGCTTATAACCAACTCGTCGATGATCAAGCACAGACTGACATTGATTTTGAGTCGGGAACACAGTTAAATGATTCGGTAGGAAGTAGTGAGAAAGTTATTGAGGAATCATTTGACGACTTAAACCGTCGTACCCTACGATCTGGTAATCAATATAGTACTTCACCTAAGTATACAAAAACAGTTACCCCTGTTACAGGTGATAGTGTGACGTTACTACCACAAAAAAATCGTCATTGTCATCAGCTGTCAGTTTGTGATTGTTAGTAGTATATTTTCATTAGTGAGATACGAGAGGTAGATACTGAGGGTGGAGTAACTGTTGCTGTATTAATGCATGAGTCATTCAGAGGATTTTATTACACAGTTTGTAGTTTACGGAGAAAAGATACTGTGATGTGTTGCTGCTGGTGATCCTTTATTATTGATGGTGTAGGTGTTTCTCTCTCACCTGATGGAGTGTCTGTGTTTGTTATTTACACCCTGGCAGATACACAGAATTGATAGAGAAGTAAATGCAACACCATATAACAGTGACCTGCTATGATGTCCAGTAACGTCCAAACTTGCAACAGAAAATTCAGTGTGAAATCCTTCCAGTAGGACTTTCCTTGGCGTGAATGAATAGTGTACCAGCAGTATGTTGACCAATAACACTAGACTTTATTTCGGTTTGATATTTGTAGTTATACATTTGCGTACTCTGTCAGTACTGCCAGCTGGTCAATTGCTCTGAAGTTAGTTGTCTATAACAGGGTCAGCTCACTGATCATGTAGTACCTCACTCCGAGGTTTGTGGTCGACTTAGTGATACTAGCTCTCTTCTCGCCCAGTATTTATACCCCTCTCGAAAAACCATCAACAAATAAAAATATACTCTGTGTCTACTTTAGTAAACAAATATCCCATACAGTCACTCACAAATCATCTTTATCATAAGTATTCAACAGGTAACTCAACGGAATATAAAGATGTAAATATAATAGGTATCAGCTGGATACTTTTGTCGGGTATTATGTATGAAGTACTCCTGTTGGTGTCCTCAGGTAATGTGACGGAGGAGGAGGAGGGGGCTGTGACGGCTACCCCACTCACATTACACCAGGTGAGTACCCCTTTCCTCACTCATCATACTACACCAGGTAAGTACCCTCTCCCTTACTTATCATACTACACCAGGTGAGAATCCCCTCCCTCACTCATCATACAACACCAGGAGAATATCCACCTCCCTTACTCACTCACTCACTCACCATGCTGCACCGGGTGACGAGTGCCTCCCCTGGAAGTTTTCAAGCGGGGAGAGGGAGGGTTAATGAAGGGGATATGTAAGCTCGCACAGTCAGATTTGGCGAGTTTAATATTTCATTGTTTTTCTTTTTTTTACATTGTTGCCATAGTGCAGTGCAAAACTTGATACATCCAGTTTATATAAATACATTAAGATGGGGCTACATAGAATTATAATTTTACAGTATTCCTTATTGTGGATAATAATTATAAGCATATTTGTTTGGAATGCACAACCTTAAACATTAACAACATTCAAGTAAACCAAAAACACGTCCACATTTCAATCTTTACCTCCTCCTTCCTCTCGGATGATATTTTCAGATCTAGTTGTGTCAACAAAACGTGCACCAAGTGATTTATTTGCTCCTTTCAATATATGTCAGCGCTTTCATCAGCATTCATTGATAGTTCAGGTGAAACAATATCCAAAGAAACATAATATCATTTTTTATAATTTCCTCACACATCTTAGTCAGCTAACTTTCCACACGGACAGAAGTACAGCGACCAACTGAAGAATTTTTCTAATTATATTGCTGCGTCTTCTCTCCTGGTTCAATGTTTCAATGTGAAATTCCTAGAGGCTTTATACACTTCCACTTGTGGTTCTTTTTCCACTCTCTCCCACTCCTCGTTCACTCATACTCAAATGCTGAAAATTGGGGACGGAAGTATTACTATTAATGCTCCTTACCTTATTAGTGATGGTACAAAATGTTTACATTGGTATTCCAGACTTTATCATTACTAGTATAAATTATTTCATACTGATAGGAAGATTAGGAAAGGAGGCGGGGTAGCAATCTATATCAGTGATAATTTAAAGTGTGGAATCAATAAGAAAATTAAAAATGATTTGATTACAGAAACAATTTTGATAGGATTAACCGATGGTAAGGAAAAATGAGTCATAGGAGTAATATGACCTCCTAATCTTGATACGGTTGAAAGGCAACTTATTTGGGATGGAATACATAGGGCATCCAGACATAGCAAATAGTAGGGGACTTTAACTTTTATCAAATAGATTGGATCGACCTTACGGGTAACTCAGAATCAGAGGGTTTTCTTGAAACAGTTCAGGACTATTTCCTAAGTCAACATATAGCTGCCCCCACCCTGGGGAATAATATACTAGATTTATTTCTGCCAAAGAAAACCTCGTTAGTAATGTCCTGTAGGGAGCGAACTCGTTAACAGCGATTACAAGGAAATGAGATTCAAAATAGGACTTAATGTCAGTCGCAAGGAAAATACCATTAAAGTCCCAAATTTCAGAAGGGCAAACTTTGATAGGTTGAAAAAAACAAATGAGGGAAGGGGTTTTACTTTTAATTTCAACAGTTTATTTCAACGGGATCCTAGTGCTGTCACTAATAATAATGGTTGCCCCTCGTGTAACGAGGATGGCCGGTCCAAGGGCCACCTAGGCGTGAATTTGTTTGGGGTATAGAAGCTGTTCCCAACACAACAACCACACCCAATGTCAAAGTATAGTCCGAGAAGACCGGACAGCTCGCCAACTGCACTGGCTAACCATTACCCCGGAACACGATCCGCAAATCGATTAAACATCCAGGTTCCCAATTACTGCTGGGTAGACAAAGGCAAATGACGTAAAAAAGTTTGCCCATAGTTTCAGCTTGCCCGGGGTCGAACCCGAGTCTGCTCGCTTGCGAGGCGTGCATGCTGACCAATATACCACAGGTCGCCATACATAGCTGTCACTAGGTACCCCATGTACGTACAATGTTACCAGAATCATCTGGTAGGAACCTCAAGTACAGCCCCCTTCACTAGTGTTGTGTTTGTTTACATTCGACAGAAGGAAACTCGCAATAGTAAACATACTATCGAATCAAAGTAAAATAAACTGACGGCGCTCTTGAGTCACAAAAGTGCACCAGTTTTTGAAGTCCTCCCAGTCTTCTGTGGAGCGAGACCTCCGTATGGCAGAGTGGAGAACACGAGTCACCTGCCGGTTATGTCTCATTGCAGGGAGACGATATCAGTAGTTGGCGTTACTTCTGGGGCGACGGGGAAGACGTTGAGGGGCAGCACGATTGACTGCGTCATGCACAGCATCAAAAATTCAGCGCAGTAAGAGTTAAGAGACTAAGGGGCGCCGTAGGGATCCGCCCAGGTAGATTTTTTTTTTTTTTAATTTATTGGGCACCCCCCTAAATCCTTGTTTAAGGTGAAGTGCAGAAGAGTTTACAGTGCCCAACAGGGAAGCATGCTAAGTTCATGCTTGCATTTATGTCTCATGAGTTCAGGGCGTAGAAGCCTGAAGAGTCAGAGGCGTAGAGCCTGAAGAGTCAATGGTGTATGTCATCAAGTTATTGGAAACTCCAACAACTTGTCCCTGACTACGAATTCGCAACTTTCGACTTACAGCAGGTACCTACTTTACTGCTAAGTGAACAGGGACTAATGGGGGCTATGAAGTATGTCCAAACAACTTCCACCGGCCCGGGAATCGAACCCGTGACATCTTGCTTGCGAGGCAAGAGCGATACCGCTTCTACCACCGGCCTCCGAGGTAGAAATGTGTTGGATATAAGAAGGAACAGCATTCTGTGTATGACAGAGGCGAGGGAATCGATAAGGAGGTGATGTAGAAGCACAGAAGGAGAGCCTGAGGTGGGTAGTAACGGCAAAATGGTCACTATATTGAGCAAGCTCGGTGCAGACGGTAGGATGAAAGGAGGTATAGCCGTTCTGTAGTAGGCGGGAGGCCAACATCAAGAAACTATGGGGGAGGCGAGTAGGATCGCCAGGACAAATAAAGCAAACATCATCATCCCCAGCAGGAAACTGCAAGAGATGTGATCCGTTAATAATAGATGGAGTGAGATAATATGAAGGTAAGAGTGGGATAGCGGGGAATTAAAGTCTCCGCGAATAAGATTCATGGAGGTAGTGAAGAGCCTGGGGGTCCAGAGAATTACTCATGAAATGAGCATTCACTACACGAAGGGTCCGGTCACCAAGAGTGACGGAGACAGAAAGTATTTCAGAAGGGAGTCCATGCGAGTCTGGTGAAGGAAAAATAAAAGATGGAATTGTGTTACGTACAAGAGTGAGGAGACCACGGGCTTGTTCATAGTGACGAGGCAGGGTGTAGAGAGTATAGACAGAGATGCGAAGTGGAGTAACATCGTCAGAGATGGTTTCCTAAAGTAGAGCGGCGTCTACTTAACCGGAGAACACATATTGGGTGAGGTCTGTCTGGTGAGGTCTAATATGTTCCAGTGTAAGGAGAGGAGGATGTGTCCTCCGGTGTGAGGTGGAGAGTTAATGCAGGGGATAAATGGGGATTCGGAGGAGGCGCTAAACTCTGTTGAAGATAGTGGATAGGAAGGAGTAGGAGAGAGGGGTATGGATGTTCCATCTCGAAAGAAGGAAGAAGGCGGGTCACGAGGGCTTACAGAGTGTGCCCCTGTTGACTCAGGGTTTCCAGAATGAGTTGTTGTTGTTTCTGAACAGTCACAACCTATGTCCACAAATGAGTGGGGTTGGGTAGACAGAAGGTTGCTGTGCTTGGAGTGACAATCCAAACGAAAGGTGATTGTTTCCACAGAACCAATATGGTGTACCTGTGCAGGAACTGTAGGTGGCGACAGGGAGTAGTGAAGGCCAGGCTGGGAAAGAGGTTGTGATGATGAAGAGAACATAAAAAAGGAGGAAAACTGCAGCAGGCCTATTGGCTCACACTGGGCAGTCCCGTTTACGCCCAAACCCTATCGCTCATATATCCACCCAAACTATGTTTGAAACTATCCAGTGTATTCGAGTTAATGATGAGGTTTGGTAAATTGTTCCACTCATCCACTACTCTATTTCCAAACTAATGTTATCTATCTCGTGTCTAAGTCAAAATTTGTCTAATTTAAAACAATTAGTTCGCTCCTGGATGGATAGTTTGAGTACCTTTGTTAAATCACATTTGCTTAACCCTGACTTCCATTTGTACACCCCGATCATATCGCTCCTCACTCAACGTCTCTCGAGGGAGTGCAAATTAAGATGCTTTAACCTGTCTCTGTACTCTAGGTTTCTAATGCCCTGGAATTAGTCTTGTCATTCTCCTCTGAATTCTTTCCAAGGATTCTATGTCCATTCTGTAATACGGTGACCAGAATTGAACGGTGTAATCCAAGTGAGGTCTCACAAGCACAATATATAGTTTGAGGATGACCTCGCTAGTCTTGTAACTAACACTCCTTTGTATGAACCCAAGTACTTTATTAGCCTTGTTTCGAGCAAATACACATTGTTTACTTAGCTTAAGACTCCTACTTATCATTACTCCTAAATCCTTCTCGCACTCGGATTTCTCAAAAATATCATTGCTCATCTGGTATCTGGTTTCCCTGTTTACATATCCTATAATGAATACTTGTCCACATTGAATTTCATCTGCCACTTTTCAGACCACTCGAAAAATATGTTTAGATCTTCCTGTAGTTTTGCGAAGTCCTCGTCAGATTTAATTACTCGCCCTATTTTAGTGTCATCAGCAAATTTACTTAAGCTGCTGTCTATGCCGACATCTACGTCGTTTATGTATATAATAAATAATAATGGTCCAAGTACTGAGCCTTGGGGAACTCCACTAGCGAAGTTGCTCCAATCGGATTTAGTGCCGTTAATGCTCACTCGTTGTTTCCTGTCCTGTTACCACGCCCTAATCCATTTTAGAACATCTCTTTTAATGCCATGAGCCTCCACTTTTCTTATTAGTCTTTCGTGGGGGACTCTGTTGAAGGCTTTGCTAAAGTCGAGATATACCACGTCATAAGTGTGCCC